AGCCTTAGACTTGATGCATCTATTGGATCCTCATAAATAAGAAAAAAGACAACCACTCACATTGGAACCTAATATGTCAAAAAATAAAAATAATGGATTTTCTTAATCACAAATAATGAATTTTCCAAGTTTAATCACAAATCCACAGATCAGTGGGTATATTTAGTATTGTAGTATAAATAGGACCTCTATGGTTGCCCGAATGCACATATGACATAACAAACAACAATATTCTACGTAGTACTTCATAGAATTATCCAAGATGATGATGAAAAAAATGGGGGCTTGGATGTTGCTAGCATTATTGACTTTGGTTGGCGACTGGTGTGGTCGTTGTTATGGGTGCTTGGAGGATGAGAGAATTGGTCTCTTAGAGATCAAAGCTTTGATCCACCCAAATGACCTTTCCTTGGGAGATTGGGTGGAGTACAGTAGTAATTGTTGTGAGTGGTCTCGGATCGAGTGTGATAACACTACAAGGCGAGTGATCCAACTCTTTCTTTTTGAAGCATGGGATCAGAGCTTGGGGGATGGGGTTCTCAACGCATCTTTGTTTCTGCCTTTTAAGGAATTGCAACGTCTTGATTTGAGTTATAATGGACTGGTTGGTTGCTCTGAGAATCAAGGTCGGTTCAATGCTTCTGTTCTTGTAATCATAAAGTAAATTCATATCATTGTGTGAATCTTATACCGAGATTACGCTGATGAAGTGGCTAGCTGGTGTTTAATGTCAATTATCTTGCTTTGATGTGTTTCTCTTCCAGGCTTCGAAGTCCTATCATCAAAACTGAGGAAACTGGAGGTACTTCACCTAAGTGAGAACCAATTTAATGATGATAAGAGCATTTTATCATGCTTCAATGGGCTTTCATCTCTCAAGTCTTTGGATCTGTCAGCCAATGAGGAGATCACAGGATCAGGTAGCTTGGATGGTGACCGTTTAATTATATAGCTTTGAAAAATTTTCTTTTCATATGTAATTCTCATATGATTTAGCTTCTATGCGTTTATTTCCTTCCAGTATGCTTAATTTTGAGA